AAAAATATACAGAAAAACATGATTTCAAGCTAATTTCTAAGTGTGAAGGTTACTTTTAGTGTCAATTTTAATCATGAAAATAACAGTTTTTCAACTGTTATCAACTACCCGTTAGCTCTAGTGGGTCCCCTTCTCAGTCTTTGGTTATGGTCGGTCAGTCTAGACAGCAAGGGACTGTGACTTGTTTTCAATGTGGAGGACCTCACTACAGGTCGTCATGTCCTCAGTTGGTGGGAGGAAAGTTTTGCGCTCGGTGTAGAAGGAATGACCATCTGGAGAGCGAGTGTAACATGGGAAGACGAGCGGTGATGAGGCCACCGAATGATGGAAGAGTTCAACCGAGAGGTGGTGGCCGAGAACAGGCAGTCGGCCGAGTTTATGCAATAACTAATGCTGAAGCAGCAAGCTCAAGTAACCTCATTGTCAGTACTTGCTTGTTGTATGGTATTTCTTGCTATGTGTTATTTGACTCGGGGGCGACACATTCCTTCATCTCGAAGGCGTGCGTTGAGAAACTGGGATTGATTGAGAGTGAGATGTAGTTTGACTTGGTGGTGTCAACCCCAGCGGTTGGTGAGGTTGGGACGTCTACTATGTGCATTAGATGTCCTATTGAGGTGGAAGGGCGTAGATACAAGGTAAACCTTATTTGTTTACCTCTCAAAGAATTAGAGGTGATTTTAGGAATGGATTGGTTGGCTGTCAATCGCATTCTCATGGATTATGGTGAGAAGGAGTTAGTATTCCCTGATGAGGAAGAAGAGTATTCGATAACGCTCGGTCAACTAAGGGAAGATATCATGGAAGGCGCCAGCTATTTTCTGATAATGACGTATACGGACGTAATGTCTGAGGAGTTAAGTTATGACCGAGTGATTAATCAAGAGAGAAGTGGAGAACGTTCGGTTGTGAATGAATTTCTGGACGTTTTTCCAGAAGAAGTAACCGGACTACCTCCCCCTCGCGAGGTAAAGTTCACAATTGATTTGGTGTCGGGAGTGGGGGCCCGTCTCTATAGCGCCATACTGAATGTCCCCAGCATAGTTGGTCGAGCTCAAGAGTCAAATTGAGGATTTAATGGAGAAGAAATTCATTCGGCCAATTTCGTTGCCTTGGGGTGCCCCTGTGTTACTTGTCAAGAAGAAGGATGACAGCTCTCGGCTTTGTGTCGACTATACACAATTGAACAAACTGACCATCAAGAATAAGTACCCCTTGCCTAGGATTGATGACTTGCTGGATCAATTGCATGGGGCTACTATATTTTCGAAGATTGATTTGAGATCAGGTTATCACCAAATCCTGGTTAAGGAAGGAGACGTTCAGAAGACTGCCTTCAGGTCTCGGTATGGTCACTACGAATATGAAGTGATGTCGTTCGGCGTTACTAATGCCTCAACAATATTCATGGATTACATGAATCGTATCTTCAGACCTTACTTGGACAAGTTTGTAGTGGTCTTCATTGATCATATCCTTATCTACTCTAAGAACCGAGCGGAGCATGAAGAACACTTGAGAGTAGTGCTCGGCATACTGAGGGAAAAGCAATTGTACACGAAACTCTCCAAGTGTGAATTTTGGATGGAGGAAGTGTAGTTTCTGGGGCATGTAATATCGACTGGGTATTTCAGTGGATCCGGCTAAGGTGAAAGCGGTATTGGAATGGGAGAGTCCTCGTTCGATCACTGAAGTTAGAAGTTTTGTGGGACTAGCAGGATACTATAGATGGTTTATTGAAGAATTCTCTAAGATAGTAGTGTCATTGACTCAGTTGACCAGAAAAGATCACCCGTTCGCATGGACCGATCGGTGTGAATCTAGTTTCCAAGAATTGAAGCAAAAGTTGACCAGCGCTCCAGTCTTAGTTATTCCGGACACGACCAAACCGTTCGAAGTCTACTGCGATGCTTCTCACCAAGGTTTGGGGTGTGTTCTTATGCAAGAGAAGAGGGTAGTGGCATATGCGTCTAGGCAGCTGAAGGTACATGAGAAGAACTACCCTACTCAAGATCTTGAATTGGTAGCAGTGGTCTTTGCATTGAAGATATGGAGGCATTACTTGTATGGGGCTACGTTTCAAGTATTCAGCGATCACAAGAGTCTCAAGTATCTCTTTGATAAGAAAGAATTGAATATAAGGCAGAAAAGATGGCTAGAGTTCTTGAAAGATTATGATTTTGAACTGCTTTATCATCCAGGGAAGGCTAATGTAGTAGCTGATGCATTAAGCAGAAAGGCAATACATGTCTCGGTAATGATGGTCAAAGAACTCAGCCTGGTTGAGAGTTTTAGAGATTTAAGGTTGCGGTTCGAGTTAGAACCGAGTGGTATAAGGTGTTGTAATCTTCGGATATCCAGTGATGTCTTTGACCAAATCAAGGAAAAGTAGTCGGCTGATAAGGACCTGCAGAAGATCTTGAGCTTGATCGGTACGGACAAAGCAAAGGATTTTAATACTGGAACGGACGGTCTCCTACTATACAAAGATAGGACGTGTATTCCGAATGATGGTGAGTTAAAGAGGATAATTCTTGAGGAAGGACATCAAAGTCGTCTTAGCATGCATTCAGGCATGACTAAGATGTATCAAGATCTCAGGAAGTCCTTTTGGTGGTCAGGAATGAAGAGTGATGTCGCTCGGTTTGTTGCATCTTGTCTAACTTGTCAACGAGCAAAGGCAGAGCATCAAAGACCGGGCGGTCTACTACAGCAGCTAGAGATTCCTGAGTGGAAGTGGGATAGCATTTCTATGGATTTTGTGACCCACTTACCCCGTACAGTAAAGAACCATGACGCAATATGGGTTATAGTGGATCGGTTGACAAAGAGCGCACACTTTCTTGCTGTCAACTTAAAGATGTCGATGGCAAAGCTGGCCCAACTCTACATCAACGAGATCGTTCGGTTGCATAGAGTGACATCCAGCATCATCTCTGACCGAGACACAAGATTCACTTCTCGGTTTTGGCAGTCCCTACAGAGTGAATTGGGTAGCAAACTTCAAATGAGTTCAGCTTATCATCCCCAAACAGACGGTCAATCTGAGAGGAGCATCCAGACACTTGAAGATTTGCTAAGGACGTGCGTCTTAGATCACTTGGGAATCTGGAATGAAATCTTATCGTTAGTAGAATTCACTTACAACAACAGTTTCCAGGCCAGCATTGGAATGGCTCCTTTCGAAGCTCTTTATGGAAGGAAGTGCAGAACTCCTCTCTGTTGGTTCCAAGAAGAAGAAAGGGTGTTGAATGGACCTGAGCTTATTCAGCAGACAACCGAGAAGGTAAAGGTAATTCAAGAAAGGTTGAGAGCATCTCAGAGCAGGCAGAAGTCATATGCTGACAAGAGAAGAAGGCCTTTGGAATTCGCTGCAGGAGATCACGTCTTTCTTAGACTGAATCCAACTACTGGAGTGGGCAGAGTTGTTCGTCCTAAGAAGCTGTCTCCCAAATTCATTGGCCCTTATCAGATTCTAAGACGAATCGGACCAGTTGCGTACGAGATAGCTTTGCCTCCTCGACTATCCAACCTTCAAACAGTTTTCCATGTATCCCAACTCCGGAAATATATCGCGGATCCTTCTCATGTGCTAGAGTTAGAAGACGTTCGTATTCATGAAGACTGTTCGATGGAGATGCAACCAGTACGTAATGAAGATAGTCGAACCATTCAATTCAAGGGAAAAGCCACCAGATTAGATAAAGTGGTATGGGACGAGAAGACGGGCAACTCTACATGGGAAGTGGAAGATGCCATGAGAGACTTGTATCCTCGTCTGTTTTCTAGTAAGTCATAATTTTCGAGGACGAAAATTTTTGTAGTTAGGGGATTGTCATAACCCATTTAAAACCCACTAAAAACCCCATTTGAGTGGAAGCCAAATGTAAAGGAAGAGATCTAGAAATCAGAGAGTGGAAAACAGGTGGCAGCAGGAGGTTGGCCGTTCGGTTTTGACGGTAGGAGTAAAATTCTGGGTTTTCAAAAGTTCACGCCACTTCTGCATGCACCCTTCTTCCCCAAAGTTCTGAACTCCATTTTCTCCTCCTTCTCTCTAGATTTCTTCATCTTCCCTCTACAAAATCTTACATTTTTCTTCTTCCGATCATCAAATAGACCACACTTGAGCATTTCTGGCGTTGAGGGCGTCCGTTTCAACTGATCAGTTTCGGGTTCTGAGTTGGTAAGTTCTCTCTTCACTCAACCGGTTGGTTTCCTGGTACATGCAAACCTAGTTTATGGGTTGCATGAGTCAATCATCTTGTTCCGAGAGTTTCTGGATTTCTGTTTGGTTTAGTTTCTTAAGGCGTGACTGTAGAACGCTAAGGTATCTGATAGAGGTGAACCCTATTCTGCAACTGTGAACGTTCGGTCACGTTTAGAGGTAAGGGAAACTTATATAAATTGATTTAGTTTCTTGCTTTGAATGGATGCATGTTCGTTGATTGATGAATGAATATGAAATATGGTTATTACTGCATTGTTGGCTGTATGAATGTATGAAGATAAATGTTGAGGAAGGTATTAATAAGAGTATGAACTCTAAGTCTATATTTGTAAGTGAAAATTGATGTTCGTCACTGAAGGTCATTGACCGTTTGGTTTTCTTGTTGACTCGGTTGGAACTGGATTCTTTCATTTGGATGGAATTTCAGTTGAGGACCGAGCGTCTTCGTTTTGTAATAATTGTACTTAAGCGTTCAACCAAGGATATTCGTTCCTTGGTATTTGGTTATAAAATTCAGTATATCTATATGTATTTGTATATTTCGTTCATTCTTGAACACTAGTTAAATGATATTTTATATTTATCAAGCCTTTATTCTATAAGTTAGTGGTGCTCGGTCTTACACCAAGCGCTCGTACTAAGTAGTGCTCGATCTTACACCAAGCGCTCGTACTAAGTAGTGCTCGATCTCATACCAAGCGCTCGACCTTGAATCAGTAAGATGATTTTTAAAATAAGAGCATTCGACCAAAACCAATAGCGTTCGTTCTCTACAGTGCTCGGTATTCGACTAGCACTCGTTTTCCTTAATGATAAACTCATAAATAAGCTAAATATTTATAGCGGTTGGTTTCTTCATATACTTCTATCAATTATCATTATTTGATGTCCTACAGTGTCGGTTTTTAATGGTGTTCGGCCTAGAGTCTTAGTACTCGGCCTAAGCTTATTGGCATTCGGTTTAAATTCTCATGAGTTAGTTCATTAGATTGACTCACCTTGTAAATAACGTTTGATTTTATTATTCTTTGAGAGGTATTATTGTAATCGGTCTCTTTCACAACCCCGTTAGTAACTCTCTTGATTTTGATCTGTTTTGCAACTGGAGACCTCTCAATCTCACTCTACGTATTTGGTCTTGTCTATGTTGAAGATTAACGTTCGGTATTTGGTATCCTATGGGATTTGTATTCAAATTGGTTCGGTTTAAGATTTTGAAAATGAAAGATGATGGAATATGATATAGATGAAATGAGTATGAATATGAAAGAGTATTCCGGGGAGGAATGTCTCATGAATGAATATTGAAATGGT